CTCTACTCACATATGACACCCAGACCCCTTGAAGCACAGGAGACAAACATCAAACAACTCTACTCACATGACACAAAACCCCTTGAAGCACAGGATAGAGTCAGCAAACAACTCTACTCACATGACACAAAACTCCTTGAAGCACAGGAGAGAATCAGCAAACAACTCTACTCACATGACACCAAGTCTGGTTGGTGTCAAACCCGGGTCAAATTGGGGAGAGGCAACGCATTAGCAGCATAATGCCATCCATGCTTCCCAAGCATGGTAACAACTTGATTGATATCCACCAAACCTACTTTGCCAATTCTGCATGTGCTACCCCTCCCTTTCCTCATCCCCTCCCCCAAAGAGCCACTATACAGGCTATAGTAGTAATTAACTACTCTTTTTTGCTTCTTATTTTACACTTATCTGCAAACTCATCTGCCAGAATATCTTGGTTTTTATCAAACAGGTCTTGCAAGTCAGGATGGAGATTGTCAGCTAGGATCATTTCACTAATTTCATTGTGACTATATTTGCTGACCAATCGTCCTCCAAACTTTTTTACAAGAAACCACACTTCATCGCTTTTTCTTTTTTCTTCTTGGGTCAATGAGATTTTCTCCACTCCAAGAGCTGCAGCTTCCACTGTATACACACAGAGATATCGCTGTGTATGAATATAATACATTAAAATTCCATAACTTCAGGGCCAACCTCTTATTCTTTATACTCTTGTTCGATTACAAAATTTTAAATATATCTATATTTTGGACTGAAAAAAAGGAAAATGTTACTCAGAATAGCTAGCAATAAAGTTAATATAGACTATATATTGTGCTGTCACTTGCCTGATCTCCAAACCCTTGGCTAGAGGTACCCAAACCAAAGTTATTTGCCAGAAGATGAATATCTTTTCTTTGGCCTTTGTCAAGACACGGAGGGAATTCTAAAACAGCCTTGGCATCATCCCTGCCAATGTTTCGAAACCACTGAAATCATATTGATACTCAATAACTAGTGAGTTTTGCATTGCCATGAAAAACTTGTTTGTTTCCTTTCAGATCATTTAGGGACAGATCAAAAATTAGAGGGGGGGAGGGCTGGTGCATTTTATTTTTTGCTTGTATATTTTTAAGTGGCCCTCTCTTTCCTTATATATTAAAAAATTTGGCCCTCCCCTAAATACTTGCACAATTTTTTCTGGCCCTCCCCTCCCCCATAACTTATAATTATTTAGGCTGACCTTGTATTTAATATAGCAGTAAAAAACGAGTTGCACGTCTTCCCAATCTTGTTGTCACAGTAGTTGTGATTTAATATGTTTAGAATGAACTGTTTATTTGTTTAAGAACATGCGTAATAGGTAAATTACAAGCCTTAGATGAAAAGTCTGTACTACTTTTTCCTGGGATTCTACCAGCTCACTAGATACACCGTGCTGACAAGGCCCAATACAGGCCGAAACAGCTGTCCACCGTTTCTAGTTGAGATGGCTCATTTTTTACGCGACTTGAAGTTGTGAAAGGCTTGTATGGCACTCTTCTTCAGTCATTTCATACAAGGCTCGTAATTTACCTATTAC